AATCAATGAGATCTTTAAAAGTAGTACTTTCATAAAATGCATAAATATCAGTTGTCACTCTATATCTCCCAATAATGTCTTAATATGGTGATATTTAAATGTTTAATTTATGATCAAAGCTCTGTAGTTTGTGCAATGCAAATACAATGATGATGATTGACAGATGTACAAATAAACGTTCCTCAAAAGCCTGATGTATCATATTTGATACTCGCATAACATGATTTTTCTATAAAAATTATATATATATATATATATATATATATATATACATACATACATGGATAATCAAGGATGGAAGTTGCTTCAGCCCAGTAAGTGTTCGCCTTTAAATCTAAAAACAACTTTTATATTGTTAGTAATATTTCCTTTATTATAAAAGTTTTCAAAGCAAAAGACACGTGAATGATGACCTGAAGGGGGACGTTTCTAGAACGATACCTTAAAAGGCCTTTTTACTTGCTAAAAATAGAAACTAACAATTAGACGACAGAAGGCTTGTGTACAACAGAACAATAAGGGTTTTGATCATGTTGGTCATTTAGAGGCCTTAAAATTGTGTGTATATTAAGGCATGTTCACATCAAGAACGATAACTATATTAGCGTCCACATCAACGCACAATAATCTTCCCTTTATTATAATATGTGCTGTCTTCTGCCACTTTAAATGCTCACTCTTTAAAGACTTTTGGATTCTGATTGGCTCTCAATGTTTTTACTGTTCATTAACTGGAAAAAAATCGTCCTGTAAGTGATTCTAACAATAATTTTCCTCTGTGTTGTTATCTTTATGGTTGCGGTGTGGACTTCCCTATTCCCTACAGAATTAGAACGATTATTAAAACTTTATATTTATATAGTTATAGCTACCATCCTTGGTGTGAACGGGCCTTTTTAAGGTTAAGATTTAATTTTAAAATTGTAATATAATCTAAATATATGATTGATGATACTCTTTCCTTGCGTTTCAGATGCTATAATAACCGAGGGTGGGGAGAACTTCAGCCAGGGGCAACGTCAGCTGTTCTGTCTGGCGCGCGCATTTGTGCGGAAGAGCAGTATTCTGATTATGGACGAGGCCACTGCTTCCATAGACATGGCTACGGTGTGTGTGTGTGTGTGTGTGTGTGTGTGTGTGCGCTTAGAAGTACAATAGAGAGTAAGAGAGTCTAAGAGGTAGAAGGAAACCCCCCTAGGGGCCACGACCTCGATTCACTTCACACTATTCTCAAACACCCTTCTCCTCCGACTGCTCCTCCGCCTTCATCTCTCCGGAGTAAATGAACCATGGCTGTGCTAAATGCACTGGCTGGGTTTCATACAGGAATGAACACACAGTGAGGGACAATTTGATAGATTCAAAATGAAAGGAAAACATCCGTGTGAAAAGTACTGGTGTTTCTGATATAAAGAATTCAAAATAAAAATGCCATGCCAGCTTGAATGTAAGCCAGGGGTTTTCAATATCAAACTACATATACACAGATTCTTAATAACACTATGGAAGATATTCAGTCAAGAGCAGTGAATGAGTTTGATTAAAGCTACACTGTGTAACTTTTTTAGTTTATTCTTAGCTAAAAACACTTAGTTCTTTCAAAAATATATGTGCTCATTAATGTATATTTACTTCGTTAAAGTAATAAAGTATTCTCGTGAGTGTATAATATGCCATTGAAAATACATACGGGTAAGGGGTTCTAATGTCGGTCGCCATGTTGCCCCTCCATCTTGAAAGTACATTAGCCAAAGAGGGACATACCCGTTAATTCAAGCTTCGCCTTTCGCGTTTTAACACTCGATGGCACCGTGTCGAATGTCATATAAATAACCTATATGTTACCTGACAAATTAAATTACTGCAAATTATTATAGTTTTCTAAAATAACCTCATCACTTGAAGGAACACTCATGGACGAGGTCGAACTGGAAGCCATGTTAATCTTGGACTACATTGGCCACCGTAGGAGTTAAAACGAAATCGGAATTGAGAGGAACAGAAACTAATATTCACTGGATGGTCATATACCTTTTCACCACTAGATGGGGATAAAAGTCACACAGTGTAGCTTTAACATTAATGACTGGCGTATATGAGGCTGCTGTCACTTTAAGAGCTTATGCATGGATCTAATAAAATAAAAATTTCGCCCAACTGTTTCGCCCAATTAGACAACTGTTATGTCTAATTTCACTTTAGACATAACCAGACATTTTGACACACAAGCGCAATAAGCCGTGAAAGTGAACTGAATTCAGCACATGTGCCGAATTAAGTTCTCTGTCGTGGTTTATTGTAATTTGAATAACTCATCATAAAGTACGTCCCACTCTATCTTCTCATTCCTCCATGCTGCTCTATCGTGTTTAAGCAGTCCTGCGCTGGAAATATTCACATACAGATAAACTATAGAACAATCTCTATTGATTAACATCGTCATGTCGCCCACCTCTACGGCCCCACACTTTGAAAACCCCTGTGATGTAAGCTATCATTAAAACACTAATATATAAAGTAATATAATACTAAAATTCATGTTTCAATGAAATCCTTCACTTAAGTTGTTATAACAATAATATAATTTGTTCATAAAAAAATACTAAATTGGAGAAATGCATTTAAAAAGCTAGAAATTATTTAAAATAAATTAAAAATATAGGTTAAAAATCTATGTAAATTATATAATAATAATAATAAAACATACATTTTATATAATTTCTAACTTTTTAACCTGATATAATATAATACAATGTAAATTAAAATGTCGATTATATTTAATGTAGCCATTTTGTGCCATTTATATTAAATAAAAGATTGTAATTATTAAAATAATATAATATAATGCCCTTTTAATAGATTGGGTTGAAAAGTTTAAAATAAAAAAAACTAATTAAATGTAAATTATATTTTATGTAGGCTATATTCAAATGTTTCTCCCATTCTTATAATAATAAATTATATTAAACATTTGAATTATTAAAAATATAATAATGCTCTATTAAATAGGTACGGTTAAAAAGTTGGAAATTATAAAGACAATATATATATATATATTTTTTTTGTATATAGTTTATATATATATATATATATATATATATATATATATATATATATATATATATATATATATATAATAGATTAAGTTAAAATATTTGAAATAAATTATATATTCTGTCATGTTTATTATATAAATGATATATAAAAATGAATTATAAATAAAAGATTGAATTATTAAAAGTATATATAATACAATGCTCTTTTAATATGTTTTATAGGTATTATATTATATTAATAATTATCTTTTTTTTAATAGGAGAGCATTCTACAGAAAGTTGTGATGACTGCCTTCGCCGACAGAACTGTGGTCACCATCGCCGTAAGTGCTTTCGGACTTTAATATTTGAAGTCTAGCTGTGGTTAAACGACGATTCAATGCTTTTAGTAAATAAGAGGCATTTCAGTCAGATCAAACAAGCTCTCAGCCATTTCACATCATTGTGTGTGTGTGTGTGTGTGTGTGTGTGTGTGTGTGTGTGTGTGTGTGTGTGTGTGTGTGTGTGTGTGTGTGTGTGTGTGTTCCACAGCATCGTGTGCACACCATCCTGAATGCAGACCTGGTGATTGTGATGAAGCGAGGAGTCATTCTGGAGTTTGATAAACCAGAGGTTCTCCTGAATCAAGAGGACAGTGTGTTTGCGTCGTTCGTGCGCGCCGACAAATGAGTCCGGAGACCCTCTACTGAAAGTGCACTTGTACCGTGAATTATAAATTATTTATAACTGTATTTATCATAATCACATTTGTAAATAAAATCTTAAACATTTATTAATAAAAATATTTAAACAACCTGTATGCCCTTTTTTTATCTTTCCATTTTTTTTTATTATATAAAAAATTACACATTTTTATATAGAAAAGGAAACATTATAAAAAACATGAATTAATATTATAATTTAAACTATTTATATTATTTTTATATCCTAAAGTGGAATAATAACTGACAAATAATATGTATAGTTTATCAACTTATATCTATGATGGAAGGTTGTTAAATATACAAGTATAGATCTTATTTAATTTATGACAGTTTTCTGTAGTGTAGTGTGTTATTGCGTTTGTGTAGTAGCGTATAGAATTATTTATAGTATAAATATTCACTATAGCCCAACTAAACCTAAATATTTGTATTGAGTGAAGTATAGCACAGTATGGTATGGCTAGGAAATAAATCGCTATTTTGTATTTTATTCTATAGTTTGTAGCCTTTAAAAGCTAACTGTGTTGCTAATTCATAGTTAATTAGCATAGTATAGTAAGCTACAGTGTAGTTCAGTTATAGTATATAGGTTATAGTGTATAGGTTATTAGTTATTTAGCATGGTTAGTGTAGTTTGTCTCATGCTAACTTGCACTCACACTGATTTTTGTTAATGCAGAGTGTAAGAATATTAACAAGATAGTATACAGTACAGCTTTGTTGTCTATAATATGGTATGTTAATCTGTTAAAAATAATGCAATCAAAAATATGTTTTTTAAAAGGTAAAAGTGTGGGGAAAAAATGTGTGTTACACTTCATTTCAATGTGTCCCTGTTTATACATTTAAGTAATAAGTAATATTCATTAATTAGGCCTACATGTACTTACTATAGGGTTAGGGTATAGGAATAGTTTAGTTCAGGGTTAGTTGCATGCAATTGTGCCTAATTATATAGTTATTACTACTATAGTAAATACAGTAAAGTGTAACATATAGTACCGAAGTTAGAAATAAAAAAAAGGTCTTTTTAATAGGTAAAAAGTTATATTGTTAATGCAGAGTAAAGTGTTCAGGATTATAGCATTGCTGACTAGTTTGTCTCTTTAGAACTGGAGCACTAACTATGACATAAGTAAAAGTGTAGTAGGCTAGCTATTGGCTAGTATGTCTTTTAATTGTTAACGCAGAGTGGGTTCTTCTCACTGTGGTAAAGTTCGCGTTTAGCACGCATGCCCTGTGCTGAACGAGTCTTTCTGAAGTCACATCTGAGGATGTGCGAGAAAATATCCGGTTGCAATTGACTGGCAGCGGCAGCCGGATCACTAAAAGTGTCGTCTTCCCACGGGACCTCCTGTGAGCGCGTGAACGGACACCGAGCGCGGCGCGCGCTGAAGATGAGCGCACTTGCCATGTTACAACTTAATAGCGCAGCCGCGAAACTGTAGTATGGACCAGCTATGTTGTCCAGAAAAGGACTCATTCCCGATGACTACTTCTTGACTCGGTTGGCGGAGAATGTGTTACAGCCCAAATTTAAATCGGCTAAATCGAGGACGGCGCGATTCGTCGCCAAGAACGGAACGTGCAACGTCGCGCACACGAACATACGCGAACAAGGACGGTTTCTACAAGACGTGTTCACCACTCTAGTGGATCTAAAATGGCTTCACACTCTGGTGATCTTCACCATGTCCTTCTTGTGCAGTTGGCTGTTGTTCGGGATGGTCTGGTGGCTCATCGCCTTCGCGCACGGAGACCTGGACCCGAAAGGTGACGACTTTGTCCCGTGTGTAACGGACATCCACTCGTTCTCCTCAGCCTTTCTGTTCTCCATTGAAGTCCAGGTGACCATCGGTTTTGGCGGACGGATGGTCACTGAGGAGTGCCTATCGGCCATCGTGATACTGATCATTCAGAACATAGTCGGCTTGCTGATCAATGCCATCATGCTAGGATGCATCTTCATGAAAACCGCGCAAGCAAACCGGCGAGCGGAAACGCTCATCTTCAGCAAACACGCGGTTATAACCGTCAGAAACAACAAGCTGTGCTTCATGTTTCGCCTCGGGGACTTGAGGAAGAGCATGATCATCAGTGCCGCCATCCACATGCAGGTGGTGCGGAAAACCGTCACCAATGAAGGCGAGATGGTGCCTTTGGATCAGATAGACATCCAGATGGACAACCCGGTGGGCACCAACAGCATCTTTCTGGTGTCACCCCTCATCATCAACCACGTCATTGACAAAAACAGCCCGCTGTATGATCTATCGGCGGCTGATCTGCTGCACGAGGACATTGAGGTGGTCGTCGTGCTGGAGGGGGTCGTGGAGACCACCGGCATCACCACTCAAGCGCGGACATCTTACCTGTCTGAGGAGATCTTATGGGGTCAGAGGTTTGTGCCGACGGTGTCTCAAGAAGATGGGATGTATGCTGTGGACTATTCTAAGTTTGGGAACACCGTTAAAGTGCCCACGCCGAGCTGCAGCGCGCGAGCTCTGGATGAGGCGGGAGGACTGGAGAGGTTTAAACTGCAGGAGTCCAGCAGCAGGACAGGCGCATCCGTGCGGAGAAGAGTCAAGTTCAGCACACCAAAGAAACCGGAAACTGTTGTGTCGTTAACCTCCTGAGACGTTTTACTATCATTTATTTCAAACAACTGGATTGGAATAAAAAGTACTGACATCCAAATATAGCTATTTATAACAACAAAACGGTGTCCATATTTCCACTGCAGTGGACACAAACAATTTGGCAAGTCTCAGTAGGTTAATGGTGAACTATTACGTTTGTATGTATAGTAAAAACAAAAAAACAAAAAAAAACTAGAGATTAATATTATATCCTATTTTCGTTTGCACTGTTGCAACTACTTTTTTCTTTATATTAATTACCTCTAATTGAGAAATATGCACGTTTGAACTAAGGTCTCAGGGAAATGAATGACTATGCACATGCTATGAAGAAGCGCATGACGTTTAATGCAATCCCTGTTTTATGCCTTGTTATAAATAAACCAGCTTGTTTGTATTGAATTGCTTTGTAATGCACTGGACAGACCTTACAGTATAGCTAAAGGTTTACCCTTTGAATATTAATGGATAGGCCCACATGTCGCTGCTGTGAGTCCTACTCTGTTTTACCAGAATAGAATTAGCGCATGACGATGTTGCGTGGCAACCGTCCTGAAGTGACTCGGGAGTCACTTATCTTAATCAATATTCATGAGCCAAGAGGCAAGGTCCCGCCCTAGAATGGGTAAATTCGTGTCATGCATAAGCGTAACAGCGCCTTACTTGAGAAATGCTTCCACCTTGTGGCCTAGTAGAACTAGATCTGAAGTTGACCCACATATCTTCTGGGCCCAGTTAGTAAAAAGTAATCTGATCGGATTTCGGCTATCGGATTGGATAAAAAATGTAATATCGGTTGGAAAAAAAATAATCTGATATTGGATTATAGCACAAAATCCAATCTTGTTTTTGATCCCAGCAGAAGGGTGGATTTCAGGAACAAATATGTAATAAAACTTTAAATTTGCTTAAAGATAAAATAAAAATAAAAATGTGTATATTCTACAATATATACACATTTATATCTTTATTTTGCTATTGATTAGTTTAAACCGTTAACTTAAAGCACATAGTAGGCTACCTATTATGCTTTTCAGTACAGTAAAGAAAAAAAAGATACCATAAAATAATTCCCCAATCAGCTGTCAATATAGAAAAATGATATATATTTAATTTAAAGGATTTTTTAATCACTCCAAATTACATTGGCACAATCCTCAGAGATGAAAAAGTCAAAGTATGGTTTCTAACAATTGCATCCCTTATTGACCGTGTATTTGTTTGTTTTTGGTGTGGCTCACAAGTACGGTGGCTGAGAGAGCTCAACACGCTGCGAATGAAAAGAACACGTGCTGCAAATACTCACAACACAACCAAATACACAAACACACTGCAAATACTCATAACGCAACCAAATACACAAACACACCAAATATGTCTATCTGCGGTTGAAACACGAATGGGCGAATATGATGACACGCAATTCATGACATGATTCATTTAAGTAAAGTATCTTTTAATATACTTGTTGTGTTCGTTCATGTTTGTTTCATACTATAACTAGCAGTAAAGAGGAAGAGGAGACGGTTCACATGCCACTTGAACTGAGGCGCTTAAGCGATCTGTTATACGACATTCGAGCCACAAAATATATTGTAGCCTATTTATTGTTTGAATTTCTTTAAAAAAGACCAAATTTGAAAGCTGAGAGTGACTTTGTTTCATAACTTATGTTACCTGCTGTCTTGTCGGTCGTCTTTGCTCCTCCATGTATTTTTCACTGTGTGAGAACGCTGTTGTGTGGCGTGATCTCGTGAGAACAATGTCAATCGCGTGAATCTGGCTGAATGTGTGTGAGTTGGCAGCCCTGCTTTAAGATCACATGATCGCGTCTCTGAGTTTTCACTTAAAGGGATCGTTCACCCAAAAAAATTAAAACTAGCCCATGATTTACTCACCCTCAAGCCATCCTAGGTGTATATGACATTCTTCTTTCAGACGAATACAATCGGAGTTATATTAAAAAATGTCCTGGCTCTTCCAAGCTTTATAATGGCAGTGAATGGCCGTTTCTGTTTTGAAGTCCATAAAAGTGCATCTATCCATGATAAAAGTGCATATATCCATCATAAAGGAACTCCACACGGCTCTGGGGGGTTAATAAAGGCCTTCTGAAGCGAGAAAAATATGAATATTTAACACGTTACAAAGTAAAATTCCAGCTTCCGGCCAAACACAGTCTACTTACGCCTAAAGCGCAACTTACGAAACTTGTGACGTCGAAATGGCGTAGTGTGTCATGGCGTAGCGTAAATCTCAGCAGTATGTCGCATTACTCGCATAAAGCCTAGTTCACACTACATGATTTTAAAACGTCGGGCTGAACTGTGCGGTTCACACTACATGACTTGCTCTCTGTGAAATCAGGAGTGTTCAAGTTGTTGAGCTGTTCACACCACACGACACAACATGATTGATCCGCAACAGGAGGTAACGCACTACACGAGTTGCCAACAACTCTGTCACCCAACGATTCTATCTTGTGTACAAACCACGCGATAAAACGAACCGGAAATGACGCGAAACAGCATGCGCGCCAATACCCAGCGAAGAAGACGAAGAAGAACACAACACGCGAACATGCCTTGTTCTGATTGGCTGTAGCTCATGACATCACGTGAGCTTGAGTCGTGCGACAGCTCTGGATATCTAGCATGCTAGATATTTTTCTGGGCTCGGCGACGCGTCTGCGAGCGTTTTTGATGCGTTGTTGGCTCTTTCATACTAACAGATTGGCGAGTGTTCATCGCCCGCTAATCCCCCGCGATTCGCACGCGATAACACCCTGACCTGTCGGCGAGCTCAACGATTTGCAAATCGGGCTTAAAATCATGTAGTGTGAACTAGGCTTTAGTTGCGCTTTGGACTTAAGTGGAATCCATATGTTCGTTTGGCCGGAAGTTAGTTATTTTACTTTATAAAGTTTTAAATATGGATATTTTTCTTACACAAACGCATCACTTCACTTCAGAAGGCCTTTATTAACCCGCCAGAGCCGTGTGGAGCACTTTTATGATGGATAGATGCACTTTTATGGACTTCAAAACAGAAACTGCCATTATAAAGCTTGGAAGAGCCAGGACATTTTTTAATATAACTCCGATTGTATTAGTCTGTATTAGTAGGATGACTTGAGGGTGAGTAAATCATGGGCTAATTTTCATTTTTTGGGTGAACTATCCCTTTAACTTCGTAATTCCGTTTCATTCTGAATGACAATAAAGGCATCTTATCTTATCTTAAAGGCATCTACCTATATCTTTTCACCTATGTCGATTCCCTTTCTGAACTCACTTTCCTGACCAACAAAAAAGCAGCGACATGGGCATCACTGCTCAGGGTTTTCTCCATGCCGTAATGATGTTTACACACGCTTTTAGTCATTTAATCTTAAATGACTCTTCACAAAACAGTTTCTTCATGTGTGTACGTTTCAAATCTGAACTAACCAAGTTCCCACGGATGGACTCTTTCCATTCGCCAGAAGCGTCTCATTAATGAAGTAAACGCAACACAGAGGTAAAGTGGCATTTCTTG